TAGTACGGGGTAGGAGCTGCCCTCCAGGTAGTGTCGCCATTCCTCTAGAGCGCGTACTATTCCAAGGAGTTCCCTATCATAGATCTCGTAGTTCCGTTGGGCAGCATCCAGGGACTGGGAGAGGTAACCGCAGGGGTGCATGTCTCCGTTGATGTCTGCTTGACGGAGAACTGCGCCGGTGGCAAATTTAGAGGCATCAGATTCGATGGTGAATGGCTTGGTTTTATCCGGCATTTGTAGGACTGGTGCACTGATGAAGCATTGCTTCAGGGTATCGAACGCACGTTGCTCGGTGTCTGTCCACCTCCATGGTGTGTCTTTCCGTGTGAGGTCATGAAGGGGGCGAGCGAGGTCGGAATAGTGGGATATGAAACGACGGTAGAAGTTGCCGAATCCCAAAAAGGACCGGACTCCCTTCACGGTGGTCGGGGCTGGCCAGTGAGTGATGCCTTCGAGCTTAGTAGGGTCCATAGCGACGACGTTGGGTCGGATGATGAGGCCCAGAAATTCGACCTCCGAAACATCAAAGACGCACTTCTCAGGTTTCAAGAAGAGGTCGTTCTCCTTAAGACGTTGGAGGACCCGCCGAGTACGTTCCGCGTGAGTGGCTGCATCCTTGGAGAAGATCAGAATGTCGTCCATATAGATGACAATCCATCCTTCGTCAATCATGTCCTTGAACAGATCATCCATCATGGCCTGAAAGGTGGCGGGCGAGTTACAAAGCCCAAAGAACATCACTGTCGGTTCGAAGAGTCCCTTCTTGCACTTGAAGGCTGCCTTCCATTGGTCTCCATCCCGGATCCTAACGTTGTTGTAGCCAGAGCGCAAGTCCATCTTAGAGAAAATGGTAGCTCCCTGCAGCTTGTCGATCAGGGTCTGCACGAGGGGGATCGGGTAGACGTTCTTCACAGTTCCTTCATTCAGATAACAATAGTCCTGGCAGGGTCGCAGAGAGCCATCCTTCTTTCCGACGAAGAAGAATGGGGACGCCATGGGGGATGTGGAGTTGCGGATGTATCCCTTTCGAAGGTTTTCTTCAATAAACTCGTCTAGTGCCGCTTCCTCCTTTGGGGACAGGGGGTAGACCTTGCAGTTCCTTGGAACGAAGTCTGGTTTGAGGTCAATTGGGTGGTCGTAAGGACGGGATTCAGGGAAACGCTCTGCTGCCTTTTTCTCAAAGGTTTCTCTGAAGTCGTGCAGGTATGCTGGGATCATGTCATCCAGGTCCCGTACCTTGTCCGGGGTTGCCGACTTGTGTGCCAATTCCTGCGATGGGTTGATCTTGGCTCTGATCCACGCAGCTCCTCCATGAGAGTAGAAGGTCCTTCCTTGCGGGGATTTCCAGTGCGAGACACGGTTGAGAGAGAGGGGTGCCAGATTATGGGAGACGGTGTGTCGGTGCTCCGGTGGTGGGGGGTGATTCAAGGGTGTCCTGAAGATCCCCATTACGGGTTCGCCCTTGAT